CACCCAGGCCTGCTAATTAAAAAAATTTTTTTTTGTAGAGATGGGATCTCCCTATATTGCTCAGGCTTGAACTTCTGAACTCAAGTGATCTGCTTGCCTTGACCTCCCAAAGTGCTGGGATTATAGGTGTGACTCACCACGCCCAGCCCAGTGAAAAATTTTGTTTGCAGTTCTTAAGCTTGTTTTCTACTTCATAAATTTAAGAACTCTACTTCATAAATTTTGTGTTTTTAAGGGTCTCAAGATTTTGGTTTAAATAAACAAAACTATGCATTTGTAAAAATAATTTGAGTCATGTTTCTATTCAAATTTGTATTTTTATTGCATTTAACTTTTTAAAAATTTATTTTAATTAAAAAAAATTTTTTAAGATTGGAAACCATCAACTTGTATTGACAGCAATGATGACTTTTCTCTGTAGCCTATGGTAGTGGACAGAGTGGGCTGACCCAGGATGTTTTTATCTGTAGACTAACAATGACATACATACTTCTAAATAGCCAACTACTTTTTCCTAAAGTGGAGCGGAAAGAATTCATAATGGTAACAAATTAGTGTTACAGATACATATTTTAATATGTAAAGGAGCTTTCACCTTTTATGTGAACTTTGGTACTGTGAAGACAGAGGCAATTTTGTTTAGATTTACCCAGATACGTTTCATTCCTAAGAAAAGCCTCTTGGCAATACGTTTATTCAGTTCTGAGAAATGGTGACATTTTGGAAACTTCTTTCAGAAACAGCAGTCACACATGTGGAACACTGGATTAAAATGAAAAATGCGGGCTCTATTTAAGCCCATATTTTTCTACATAGGATCACAACATAGGGTTGGGACATCCTCCCCCGATCCTACACATTTCCAAAGGAAAATCCAATTTTAGAAGTTTCTACTTGCCAAACTTAAAAAAACCCAGTCGCCTGAAAGTTAGCCAGCAGGGCATTGCCACCAACCCCAAATAAAGCTGTAGGTTTCATCATGTGCACCAGACAAATCTACAAGGCTAGTTTCAGTATTCCTCTTTTAAAGAATTTATTTTAAACCTATTATACCACACAGCATGTTTCAAACACTGACATACAACTCCCTAATAAGATAAAACAAGGCAAAAAGGTTTATCTTATTAGAAACAAGATACACCATCACTTACAGTCTTCAAATATCACTACACTTTAACTTTCATAATTTGACAAAGCATTCATGAAACAAGCTACAGACTAGTTTTAACAGACAAAAAATACCTTACCTGTAAGCAGACATGTGCCTGTCCTAAATTTTTTATTAGGTAAGAATTTTACAAACATTATTTATATTAGTGGTAATGGAGAGTATTGCACCTTCTTCAAGCTGCAGGGTGAGAACCACCAAGAGTGTGGTGGAACTTATGGCCCTTCCAAAGCCATGGCTCTTTCGGCCTGCAGATGTCAGCCTCCACCTCCTGGGCTCAAATGATTCTCCTAACTCAACCTCCTATGTAGCTGGGTCCACAGGTGCACACTACCATACTTGGCTAATTTTTTTTATTTTTTGTAGAGATGGGGTCTCATTTTGTTGCCCAGGCTGGTCTCTTAACTCCTTGCCTCAAGTGATCCTCCCTCCTTGGCCTCCCAGAGTCCTGGGATTACAGGCCAGTGATGGATATTGACTATTCACTAGCTTTTGGAAATAAGAAAATTTATTTAGAAACTTGTTTTGTAGTTTATAATCATTAACATTTAGTGTTCTCATAGAAATAGATTATTTGTTCTAATTGGCTAAGAATGTATTTAAAAAGTAACTTGCTTTCTAAATTATAGTTATTTTCTAGGGTTATTTTTTTCTTTTTTTGAGACAGGGTCTCGCTCTGTCACCCAGGCTAGAGTGCATTCGTATGATCATCACTTACTGTAGCCTTGACCTCCTAGGCCCCAGTGATCCTCCCACCTCAGCCTCCCGAGTAGCTGGGACTACAGGCATGTACCACCACACCCAGCTACTAGGGAGGCTGAGGCAGGATAATAGCTTGAGCCCAGGAGGCAGAGGTTGCAGCGAGCCGAGATTGCATCATTGCACTCCAGCCTGGGCAACACAACGAGACTCTGTCTCAAAAAAAAAAAAAAAAAAAAAAAGTATCATTTTCTATTTTTTTTTTTTTTTTTAAGAGACAGGGTCTCACTGTGTCACCCGGGCTGGCATGCAGTGGCTATTTACAGGAGGGATCATAGTGTACTACAGCCCTAAACTCCTGGCCTCAAGCAATTTTCTTTCCTCAGTCTCCTGACAGAAATTTTTTTTTTTTTTTTTTTTTTTTTTAGAAATTCTTTTTTTTTTTTTTTTTTTTTTTTTTTTGAGACAGAGTCTTGCTCTGTCACCCAGGCTGTAGTACCGTGGCACGATATCAACTCACTGCAACCTCCCAACCCGGGTTCAAGTGATTCTCCTGCTTCAGCCTCCTGTGTAGCTGGGACCACAGGCGCCCGCCAGCATGCCCAGCTAATTTTTGTATTTTTAGTAGAGACAGGGAGAACTCCCAGCCTAAAGTGATCTGCCCGCCTTGGCCTCCCAAAGTGCTGGGATTACAGGTGTGAGCCACCACACCTGGCCCGTTATTTTCATATGTTGTAAAATGTCTCAGCTCATACTTAAATTCACTAATTATAACACCAATTCATGGAGTGATATACTTAAATAACAGAGATCTTTAGAAACAAATATGGAGAGAAATTAATAAATTAAATAAACATAGGCAAATTCCTATGTGACTCATAACAATGGTTCTTGTTCTTCCCTTGCTCCTTGAAGCCCACTGCCATGGGAGTTATTGTTTTAAAAGTCTGAGCTCTAAAGAAATTGATGGGTTTACAAGAAGAAAGAAGGAAAGACACTATTAAGTGGAGCTGATTCGGGGAGAAAAACAACAGGCTTGATTATCTGGTATCACTTTTGTCCAAAAACATTTCCTCCTTTGCTGCCTATTTACACTTTATGTAACTGCATCAGAAATTAATTCGGTTTAGCAGGCACCTGCTTTCAAATACAAGATTATCTGTGATTTATAAATTTTTACTTGCTACTTGCTTTCACTGTATATCCTTTTGTATAATTTGAACTTTTTCCTGTGTACATATATTTCCTATGTTAAAATACATTAAATAAGTTAAACAAAAAAGAATGCTTTCCTGTTAATATCCAGTTGAGATCAGTTCACTGAGGAAACAAAAGCTTTGATTAGGAGTAGGAAGAAATAATTTACAACAAAAATATTTGTGGGGCAGAAAAGACTGAAACATGCAAATATTTGGAGCTGGAGGAGCAGTATGTCAAGGGAAAACAGCTACTAAAAGCAAATAATGGACAGATGTAGGAGATGCCAAACAATGAGGATTCTTTGAAAAACTCTTCTCTTTGTCCCTAAAGTATTTTAAATGGCACTCGGTTTCCACATCTTTTAATCTGGACTACTACCAAAACTATAGTTCAGCTATATCACGAAATAAATAGATCTGTGCCCTGACTCAGGGCTATAACCACAGATTATAACACTATTTGCATGGAAAATGCAATCTGAGTTTCATGTAAATGACTCCAAAAACATTTGTAAACATAACCCATTTCTAAATTGAGGAAGGTATATTAACTTACAGCATAAGATCATAAGCTCCCAGGCTGCATGCAGAATCTCACACCTATAATCCCAGAATTTTGGGAGGCCTGGGTGAGTGGATTGCTTGAGCCCAGGGGTTTGATACTAGCTTGGGTAACATGGCGAAACCCTGTCTCTGCAAAAATACACAAAAATTAGTAGGGCGTGGTGGTATGGACCTGTAGTCTCAGCTACGCAGGAGGCTAAGGTGGGAGGACTGCTTGAACCCAGGAGGTTGAGGCTGCACTGAATGGCGATCACACCATTGTGCTCCAGCTTGGGCAACAGAGTGAGACCCTGTCTCAGGGCAAAAAAAAAACCAAAAAAACAAACCAAAAAAAAAAAAAAAAAAGCTCCCAATAGGGAGAAACTTCATTTTCCTTATCTTTACTCTTTAGTGTCCACTGGTGTGGTAGATAGAAGATACACTGAAATGGTAAATGAGCTAAACATATGTACTAATTTGAAAATTTAACCCCCATTCTGCTTAATTCAATCCTTCCAGGAAGACGATACAAATACAGTTGTCCCTCAGTATCTGTGGAGAATTGGTTCCAGGACTCCTGCAGATACCAAAATCCATGGAGGCTCAAGTCTCCTATATAAAATAGTGCATTTGCATATAACCTATGCACATCCTCCCATATACTTTAATCATCTCTAGATTACTTATAATACCTAACACAATGTAAATGCTACATAAATAGTTGTTATACTGTATTGGTTTAGGAAATAATAACAAGAAAAAAAGTCTGTATATGTTCAGTACAGATGCAACCATTCGTTTTTTACTCAAAATATTTTCAATCTGTCATTGGTTGAATCCACAAATGTGTAATACACACATATGGAGAGCCATCTGTATTCTTTCCAGGCTTTTCCTACGTAGACAGTAGCTTTCTGCAGATAATGTCTTCATTCAAAGGAACCACCGACAGGACAAAATGAAAATGATTGGTTGCTGGCCTGTAGGCCTTCCAGGTTCCTCTAGATCTCTCTCTGCTGGCTTCACTGTTTCTAGTTCCATCCTGAACCAGCTATTTGTTAGACACTTTGTTCCTAAACCACGTATTACTTCTCCATCCATGTAAATCTGAAGTAAGTGTCTTACTCTATTTTACCCTGAGCTGGTCTATTATGCATATGCTGGGAGAACTGGGCTCAATGAGTATTAAAATTAAGGCATCATATATAACCATTATAGAATATCACAAACCACATCACAACTAAGGAATTTTACTTATTTAAGAGAGAATATTTCAGGTCAGGTATAAACTATTAATTTCTACAAATAAATTCTTTTAAATGGTCACTTTAACAAATATGAACATCTTCCTGCAGAATACACATATGTAATTTCAAAAATAACAAACTTACTCATCATTGTCTTTTGTTGTCGATTCTTTGCTTTCAGTTAAACTGGGGTGATTCCATTTTTTTCTCTTTTCTATATATGTGTAATAAAGAAAAGGACATAAAGTTCAAGGAGAAATCATCAAATTTTAAATAGAATTTTGTCAAATTTTAAATAGAAAGTAAAAAGGTGGACAAATGGAAGGGAGGTGGGAAAAGAAAAAGTATCCTATTTTGTTTTTTTTTTCCATTTCCTATTTGCCTAATTTCTTATTCACAATACCACATAAGAAAAAATAATCTTTTGAATAAAATTTCCATTGAAGGTTGGTATATTAAAGAGAAATCCAATATGATTCCATAATTAGGTTAAAATGCATTAGTAAACTTTATTAGATAAAGGATACTTTCATCAAAGATTTTAATCAATGATATTATATTAAGGCTTCCAGTTTGCATTATTCCACCTCTATTTTTTTTCTCAAGTTAACAACAAGGGATTGGTGATACTGATACTCAGAAAATAGTTAAGTTCCTCATAGTATCATTGTAAAATAAATTTGATTTTAGGGGTAAAAGTACCTTTTAATTTTATTTTTAAATTGACACTAAATATTTATAGTATATAACATGTTCTGAAATATGTATATATTGTAAAACGGCTAAACCAAACTAGTTAACATATCTATTACCTTACATACTTACCATTTTTTTGTGGTATGAACACTGAAAGTCTACTTTCTTAGCAATTTTCAACTGTATAATATGTTGCTATCAATTATAGTCAATTATACAATAATTGAACTTGTTCCTCCTGTCTAGCTGAAATTTTTTATCATTTGGTCAACATGTTCCGAATCACTCAGCCCTCCCGACCAGAAGACCCTGGTAACCACCACTCTATTTTCTGTTCTATGATTTTGACTTTTTTAGATCCCACTTATAAGTGAGATCATGTGATATTTGTCTTTCTGTGCCTGGCTTACTTCCCTTAACATAATATCCTCCAGGTTCATTCATGTTGTCCCAAGTGGCAGGATTTCCCTCTTTTTAAAGGTTAAGAGCATTCCATTGAGTATATATACCATATTTTCCTTATCCATTCATCTGTTCATGGGCACTTAGGTTGATTTAGTATCTTAGCTATTGTGAATAATGGTGCAATGAACATGGGAATCCAGATATTTCTTTGACATACTGATTTAATATCCTTTGAATATACACCCAGTGGTGGGATTGCTGGGTCATATGGTAATTTTATTTAAATTTTTTGAGGACCTGAATCTTTAAATGTGTATTTATTTAGTAAATCCTTGGAAAGATCTAAGTATATCATTCATTATTTATTTAAGATAACAGGCTGGGCGCAGTGGCTCACGCCTGTAATCCCAGCACTTTGGGAGGCCGAGGCAGGCGGATCACAAGGTCAGGAGATCGAGACCATCCTGGCTAACTCGGTGAAACCCTGTCTCTACTAAAAACACAAAAAATTAGCCGGGCGCGGTGGCGGGTGCCTGTAGTCCCAGCTACTCGGGAGGCTGAGGCAGGAGAATGGCATGAACCTGGGAGGCAGAGCTTGCAGTGAGCTGAGATCGTGCCACTGCACTCCAGCCTGGGCAACAGAGCAAGACTCCGTCTCAAAAAAAAAAAAAAAAAAAGTTAACAATAAAATAAATAAATGGTTACATTCCATTTAAAATGCCATCTAGTTATCCAAGGTCACAGCTTATCTAAACTTTTACAAGTTTCACAAATTGACAGAGGCACACGTGAAGACATAGGATGTAACTAAGTCATAATCCTTCATATGCTCACTGGGTTGAAATGTAAGTTTGTTTGATTTTATAGCTCTAGTAGAACATAATGTTTGTACTTATCAATGGTTAAGCAGATAATTGTTTTATGAGCTATTTAGTTGCTTGTTCTAGAGTATACTACCATATACACCAAGTACTTTAAACACATTTGATACATAATTAGCAAGTATTTGAGGATACATATTAGTACAGTTAAGATTTTCAGTGCCTTGCATATACTGGCTTTTGATGTTTATTGAATGAATAAACAAGCAAATGAATGAATAACCCAAACTGTTGACCACTAATAAAAAACAGTCAAAAGAAACTCAATTTCATTGAGTCCACTGGTTCAGAAGTCGATTAATAATAACTCCTCTCATTGTTACTTTGAACCTATGTCTTCCTCAAAAACAATAACAACAACAACAAAAACCTATCATGTTACCCCAAAATAGTCTCTAATGGCAAAAGGAGAAAAAAGTTATAATTTAGAAATTTTGTTAAAGCACTAGTTATTTCTCTTGTTTATGAACTATGCCTTATTTGACAAGTCAGTATCCTTGTTTCAAACGGAATAAATTAATATGGTTAAAAATGTAGTAAAGAATGTAAGGGGAAAAGAATAACAATATTTTGTGATTTTAGAGAGTTTTGGAGTAATAAATTAAAATCTGTCTCTGAAAAAAGTTAAGCTGAAAATGAATGTTTTGTGGAAAACCACAAACGAAAACCCAAATGTACCTTAAACCTTTATTTCAGAAAATCTTTGCCTAAAGGTCAATACTAATTTCCTGAATTTTGTACTATGCTGTTTGCATTCAGTAAGGCTCCAAAATTAAGTATTAAAATTACTTTGCTCCTTTAACTTGTAATTCGTTTTCACATGTCAGCACTAATAGCAAAAAATGTCAGGTAAGAAATAGTAAAGAATGTTATTTGAATTTTCACTAGGTATTCAATGCCTTTTTAAATATTTTTATTATAAGAGAACTAGTCAAATATCTCACCCTGTAAAAATGCATCAATAGTATTAACTTCAGTCTTCTCGTGGAAGGATTTATGATTTTAAATAATTTTCAGCTGTTAAATATGAAGAATTTTAATATTTCTAAGAGTAATACTTAGATCAGTTATTAGACTGTTGAGTAATACAACATATTGAGTAGTAAATGAGTTTTCCAGTTACTTAATACATTCCTTTATTTCATTCCATTCTATTAAAAAAAAGTAAGCACAATGAATATATACAAAAGGACTGTGGAATCTATATGGTATTTTTCTTGTGAGATTATATGTAAAAGTGAGCAAACACTTGTGTATTTGACTCTCTCCAAGTGCAGTTTCACAAAACATTGGTGACAAATGTACCATCACTGAATCTGAACTAGATTCAGAATTGTATTTGAGCTTTTTGGTAAGGCTCCAGGGAGCTCTTTCCCTAACCAATGAAGATAGCTTTCAACAAATTGTTAACACTTGGAAGCACAATCAATAGTGATGACAATGGCTAACACTTACATGGTATTAACTAGGGCCAGGCATTGTTTTAAATATGTTACATATGATATCTAATTAACTTGCACAACTCTGACACAGTCACTCTTGTTCCCATTTTACAGATGAGAAAATAGAAGTACAGAATGGTTACATAACTTATCCCAGTCCGTAAAGTTAGTGAGTGAGGATTGAAACCCAGACATTTAGCTGAAGACTGTGCTCTTAACCATGATGCAATGCTTATTAATAGACTAATGTAGGCTGGGCACAGTGGTTCATGCCTGTAATCCTAGCACTTTGGGAGGCCGAGGTGGGTGGATTGCCTGAGCTCAGGAGTTTGAGACCAGCCTGGGCAACACGGTGAAACCCTGTCTCTACTAAAATACAAAAAATTACCCGGGCACGGCAGTATGTGCCTATAATCCCAGCTACTTGGGAGGCTGAGACAGGACAATCACTTGAACCTGGGAGGCAGAGGCTGCAGTGAGACGAGATTACACCACTGCACTCCAGCCTGCATGACAGAATGAGACTCCATCTCAAAAAAAAAAAAAAATTAATGTAAAGTCCAAACAGGTTTAGGCTGGTATCATGCTGCTTATAGGTACCCTTACTTTATAGTTGATAAATATTACAGGCAATCATTGTGGTCTCAAACAAAAAGTTAAGAGTTGGGAAAACCTTGATCCACAGAGGTTTAAGTGATTTGTCTAAGGTGGTCAAACAAAAGTTAGTAACTTCTTCCTGAAAAGGTTACTTGCATGTAGATCAAGTTGAGGCCTGCAGGCAAAGAGGTGAATGAGATACTGATACAGTCCTGCTATTCTTTTAATAAACCAAATTAATATTAATAAACTAGAGTGGTAGGTAAATAACCTCTTTAGAGGATCAACTCAAGAAAAATAACAATATTAATTTTTTTTTCTTTTTTTGAGACAGAGTCTCACTTTGCTAGCCCAGCCTGGAAAGCAGTGGTACCATCTCTGCTCACTGCAACCCCTGCCTCCCAGGTTCAAGTGATTCTCCTGCCTCAGCCTCCTGAGCAGCTGGGACTACAGGCATGCACCACCAGGCCTGGCTAATTTTTGTATTTTTAGTAGAGACTGGGTGCCGCCATGTTGGCCAGGCTAATCCTGAACTCCCGACCTCAGGTGATTTGCCCACCTCAGGCCCTCAAAGTGCTGGGATTACAGGAGTGAGCCACTGCACACAGCTGAATGGTTCTTTTTCACTCAAAATGAAAACAACTTTATTAAGTCGCATAGATAGAAATGTAACAACATTCTTTAACTTTTTATCTACTAAAACAGTAATATTTGGGAAGCAGTAACAAAAATACAGGTTTTTTACATCTTTCATTCAGATTACTTTGTGTTGACTGGGTACTTGACAGTCTGATAACTGACCTAAGTGTTATTCTTAGATATATTAAAACTTGTCATATTTAAAAGCTGAAAAGTATTTAAAAGCCTAAGTCCTTCCATGAAAATATTGAGATTAATATTATTGATCTACATTTTACAGGGTAAGATATTTGACTAGTTCTTTTACAATAAAAATGTTTAGCATTTGGCCCACACCTCAGATTGCTCACCACAGATTTAAGGAGATAGTATAGTAGTTTATCAGCTCCTTTACATGTTGTTTGTTCCTTCTGCTACTTGAAAAAAAATCAGTCTAGGCCGGGCGCGGTGGCTCAAGCCTGTAATCTCAGCACTTTGGGCCGAGATGGGCGGATCACAAAGTCAGGAGACCGAGACCATCCTGGCTAACACAGTGAAACCCCGTCTCTACCAAA